GGGTCAAGCAATTTGCATACTGCTGCAATGGGCATAATTGTGTGCATCGATCGATACTACCCGATACTCTGCCGCTAGGTCTTGTCTCTTTCGCCGAAACTTTGTCAAGTTAGGTTCTTTGACATGCTGACCACGCTAATTTCATTCACTTTGCACGGTATGGTCCCATAGGGTTACGGCAGCTGTACTGTAGGAAAGTCATAGCTGTATAGTCATAGATCTACCCGAGATACGTAAACAGTTTGAAGGGTTACTGAGTTTGGGTCCTGATGAGTTACATATAATAGCACTTTAAGAGTATTACACCAATCGATTTAATGTTGTAAACAGTTGGTGGCGCTGTTCACCACAACGGGTACGATTGTTTTTCAACTGGCCACAAGGTCTGAAGAGACGATCATCTTGGGAAGTGCTGACAAAATGCTCTTGTTGAGGGCTGTTATCTAACGTACAGCCATGGTGGTGCAATTAAATTGTGGATGAAGGTGCAATAATTGGGCACAGTGTTACCGTTTAATTTGATGAAGCCTGAATTGCGGAAGTGAGCATGTTGAGCGCGTCAAAGAGTGCAGAAGATGGTTAGTACTATGTAAACAATCTATGTTCATTTCTTACCTTGTCGTTAAGTCAGATAAAAAAGAGCTAAAAAGCTGGAAGGTTGCAGATGTTCCAAGATTTATATCTAGCGCAAATGTGGCCTCGAAGTATAATTTGGCTAGCACCTGACACTTAATCAAACTCCATTGTCATAGAACAAATGTGTCAATCTTACTGAGTCGCTGCTTCTACAGAAGTGTGAAAATTGTTCAACTGCATTGTGACACAGGGATGTTAGTAAAACTGGCATCATTGTTTATTGATATAGACGAAAAAAAGGTATGAGTGAACGTGTATTTGGCATCTCGGGTTTGAATTACAGCAGAGATTATCGTGAATGGATATGTAATTCGTGATCACCGTGTCAAATAAGTAGACTATTTTTCAGGTGGATCCTTGACTTTGACCTTCCTACAGAACGCTTACCATACAGTC